ATTTTTTTTTTTTTTTTTTTTTTTTATTACTCTTGACTTTATATTAAAGGAGTGTAATTTTTATTTTTAAGTATCAAATATCTTTGTTATATTTCATTTCGCTATTTAACTAATTTGTTAAATGTTAATATTTCATAAAAAAATAAAATGAATATATTAATATTTTATTATTTATTTAATAATAAAATAATGTAGAATAAATAAAATTTTAAATATGTATAATATTATGCATATGTATATATAATTAAATTTGTGTATATATATGTGCATAATATATGTGTGTATATTTTTGTGTGTATAAATATATATGTTTTTTTTGAAAAAAAAATTATACGAATATAAAAAAATATACTAATATAAAAGTTATTAAGAATGTTTTGTATTATTTAAATATATGAAAAAGAGTTATACAGAAATTATTGTAAAAAAAAAAAAAAAATAAATAAATAAATAAAATTTCTATATAAAAGAAAAAAAAAAAAAATATAAAAATACAGAAATTTAAATGGAGAAGAGGGAAAAAAGAAAGAGTAAAAAAACATATGTACATATATATATATATTTACAAAGAAAAATATATATATAAAATGTGCGAAAGATTGTATAAAAAAATAAAGAGTATTGAGTGTGAGTCAAATTTATATATCTCAAATAATAAGGTTTTATTTGAAACTATATATAATTTAATAAAAGAAGGTGTTCCAATACCAAGTGCTTATTATATAAATGATCATATAGTAGATAAAGAAACAGAAAGATATGTGTTAACCAAATATATTTATGATGTTGATGATATTATATATAAAGTAGAGGCTCATTCAAAAATAAAATTAGAAAAATCTGTTAATTTAAGAGTTAAATTTATAGAAAAAGAATATTTAAAAGACTATGAAGTGGAAGATTTCTATAAAGAAGATAAATACAACATATTAGATTCCTTACAAATATATGTTTCACATAATCATTTTGAAAAAATATGGAATGAATCTACTATTCCATATTTTTTAAGTTGTTATCATGATGAGGAAAATTTCAAAATACACACACATATTTTAGAAAAAGATGAGTTTGGCTATGATTTACAAATAGAACTTTATGAAATACCAGATAATCCTATTAAGACATTTCTCGTAGCAAATCATTTATCAAAAATTAGAGAGGCTTTGCAATGTGGTCCTTTAATGCACTTTTTTTTAACCAAAACAAACATTCAGGAAAATTCTTTTGAAAAGTTTATTATTAGAAAAAATGAAGTTATTTTTATTTTAAAGAAAAATGATTATTTGTTAGCTGTTATTTCAATACATTATGAAGATGAATATGATAAGTATATAGTACTTGGTTTATGTAAAAATATTCATTTAACAACTAAAACGATGGATTTAACTGGTAATCTAGATTGCTCTTTTTACACAGACTTTCCTTCTCACTTAATAACACCCGAATTCTTTGTATATAACAATCTAGACAGAGATAATTATGAAAAAGAAAAATCATATTTATCATGGAGTAATAATTCAAGCCACATAAAAAATACATATAAGTTTAATGAAAATCATTTTAAAAAAGAAGATAAAGAAAAAATAGATGAGCAAATAAAAGAAAAATTAGATAATGAAGAACAAGAAGATAATAAGAATAATACAGATACAGAAAAAAAATGTAATAATTTTATAGATAAGAAAAAAAATAATAAAGAATATATATGTGATGATAAAAGTGGAGATATAAGTGACAATCAAATTTGTGAAGAAAAAGAAATGAAAGTACCAAATGTTGGATTTATATCTCTACGAATGGATACACAATTATTTAATAATTGTAGAGATTTTTCTGAATTAATTCAAATATCTAGTAGAATATCTCATATTATAGTTTCTTTTAGAGATTTTTTAAATAACTCACTTGTATTATATAGAATTAAACAAAGGAGAACCTTTTAAACATTAATATTGCATATCTTAATTTATTATTTTTTTGATTTATTTTATCCATAATTTATATTTAATTAGTCTTTTTTTTTTTTTTTTTGTTTTTACATTTTTAATGGCATTTTTGTTATTATTTTTTTTTTTTTTTTTATAATATATTACATTTTTGTTTATTTAATTTTTTTCATTTTGCTTTTATAATTTATAAATATATATATACTTATATTCTTTTTATTTTATACGTCATTCTTTTTATTATGTATCAATATAAGAAAAAGCATTCTTTATAAATTCTTTTATTTAAATTTTTCTATACATTCTTTTATTTATCGAATGCGTATCCCAAATACAAATGTAATACAATACTTTAAAAGATTATTACTGAATTGTCTTAGAAAATTATAAAAATAAATTTTAAAATATTTTTGCTTAAAATATCAATAAAAATTATAAAAAAAAAAAAAAAATAAATATTAATAAAATGGAAAAGATTTATATAAACTTTCTTTGAATATAACAATTTTTTAAATAAAAATGTAAATTTAAGAGAAAACATGAAATAAAAATTTTTAAATAACATAATACTAAAAGTATTATTATTTTATTTTTTTGTATTTTAATAAATTAAAATATTTGCATATTGTAATTTCTATTTATATATTTATCATGGTTAAGCTATGAGATATAGTAAATGTTTTTTTGTTAATTAAAATTATTTTTTTTTTTTAAATTAACATTTAGATATAACGTATTTTTTTAAAAAAAAAATGAATTCAATTATATCTTACTAATATTAAATATGCATATATGCATATATATTTTTGTTTATATACATATGTATTTAAATATTGTTTTAAATAATAGAACAGAAAAAGAAGAATAAAATAATGATAATATAGTTTAAATTTTTAATCATAATCTCGTTTTCTTTTTTTCTATTTTATTTTAATTTTTTTTTTTTTTTTTTTTTTTTATGGAAAAATTCCATATAGTAAGTTGGAATGTGAATGGATGGAAAAGAAGTACTGAATTAATAAAAAAAAAAGATGGTAATTTATTTGAATTTTTAAAGAAATTAGATATCGATATTCTATGCTTACAAGAAACAAAAACAAATGATTCTGTTATTGAAAATGATTTTAATTTAATAGATGCATATTCTGATAACTATGAATCTTATTGGAATTGCTGCAAAAGAAAAAATAATGAGAAAACTTTCAAAGGATATTCAGGAATTGCTACATATGTAAATAATAAAACTAAAATTATATGTTCTACAAATAAACCTTTCAAAAATTTTTCCTTTTTTATAAATAATGTTTCAAAAAATGATTTGCTGATTAAAAGAAAATCAAAAATAGATGGTTCTTCCATATCCTTTTTTTTGATTAATGAAGATAATAATAATAATGACAAAACTATTATTAAAAATAATTTCACAAAAAATAATATAATTAATTCTTTGAATACTAATAATAGCACTGAAAGGTCTAAGTATGATAATAAAAATTGCATAAATAGAGAAAAAGAAAATACGCATTTTCTAAAAAGCGTAAGTGATTTTTTCAATGAAGGGAGAATATTAATTACAATTCATAAAAATTTTATAGTAGTTAATATATATGTACCATATTCAGGTAATAATTACGATAGAATAGATTACAAAATGAAGTTTCTTCATGCTGTTAGAGCAAAACTAATACAACTAAGAATCACAACAGGTTTACCAATAATATTATTAGGTGATTTTAATGTGTCCTATAGAAATAGAGATGTTTATTATTTAAATAATATTATTAATTTAAATAAATTGTTAGAAAATATTGAGAAAATTAATTTGAAGGAAGATTTAAAAAACAAAATTAGACAGAAGTTACCAATAATAATTGATAAACTTAAAAGTAAAAACAATTTTGTAATAAAAAAACAAAAAACAGAAAATAGTGAATTTTTTCATTTTTTTCTAAATTTCGATGGTAATTTAAAAAAAATTGGAAAAAATTTTAGTTCACTAGAAGAAATTTTTTTTTTTTTTTCTTTAGATACAATTTCCATAGAAGATAAATATATAAATTACCCTAATGAATACTATTTTTTTCTTAATAATTCTATGAATATTTCGGAATCAACATATAAAAATGATAATTTTGAAGACAAGGGAAAAATAAATGAACATATGGATAATTTTGAAATGGATTCAAAATTAAAAATAAACTATATGCCCAAAGATAAAAGCAATCAAAATTTTATTTTGAGTAATAATAATAACTATAATAATAATAATAATTTCATTGAAAAGGACTATATTAATTTGTTTAATTCTAATTCATCATGTGTAATTGACAGTTGTAATATTAATTATAACAAAAAATATTTAAATAAAATCGTAGAAAATGATGCTAAGTTTAACAATGTAAAAGAAAAACTTACAACAGATTATGAATTAAAGAAAAACTATGAATCTTTTTCTATTAATAGTGAATATATGCTTAGGAATATTACAAAAAATAAGAACAAAGAAATGGAAGAATATTTCTTAAATAATAATGAAAATATAAAATATAATGAAAGATTAAAAAACAAAATTAAGAGTTGTAAGAAAATATTATGTAGATATAAATTTAAGAGTTGTTTAAAAGGAAAATATATAGTTAAAAATGAAAACTGTTTATATTTAAAGCATTTAAATGATATATTTTTATCATTAGATATAGTTCTTTCAAAGGATGATTTATTAAATATAGCTAACAGTGTGGGTTCTTCTTCTTCACCAAAATGTTGCACAGATTTTTTGAAAAACTTAATTTTTGAAGATAACATGATTGATACCTTCTCTTATTTTCATAATACAATTAATGGAAAATTCACATGTTGGGATACATATAAGCAATATAGAGTAACGAATGAAGGATCTCGAATTGATTATATTTTAATTGATTATATTATCTATGAAAAATTCATAAAGGAATACAATTATTTATATGAATCACCAATTATTTTAAATGATGAGATAAAAAAATTATTATTAAAAAATGGTAAAAATAATGACATTAATTATGATTATATAAATTCAATGGACAATAATAGAAATTATGCTAATTATTTTAATAAACTAAAAAAAAAAATAAAATATGATTTCAATGAAAATGTAAATAATAGTGAAGATGATGAATTTTATGATTTACAATTTAAATTTTTAAGTTACATTGGTTTTATATATACCTCACCAAAGTTAAGTGACCATATTGCAGTTAATTGCACATTTATTATCAATGATCACCTAACAAAATCTACAAAAAAAATTACAAAAATATGCTGTTCAGATTATGATATCTCTTTAAAATATATTTGTAATTCTTTAGATCAATATATTATTTGCTTGCCGTTATATTTAATTAATTCTCCTATTTTTTCTTTGTGTTGTTTTATGTTTCTAAATCATATGCATTTACATAGCAATATATGCCAAAGTATAACAGAAACTCAACCACACAAAAAAACAAATAAAATAACCAAATATTTTAGCAAAAAAATAAAATAATAAATAAGTTTTAAAATATAAATATCTATTTTATTGTTAATTTATTATTGCATAAAATTTTTTTTTTTTTTTCATTTTTTTCTTTTTTATTTTTCTGTGATTCTCTATTTTTCAAAAATTATTGGAAATTATGTAGCTGTAGATTATAATTTTATTTGATATTTATAAATTTTAATTTTAAATTTCTCTTTCCTTATATGTACATATTTTTATTTTAACTCATAAAAATTAATCTTGTATATAATTATTAAATGCAAACTTCGTTATGTAACATATTATTTATAAAAAAAAAAAATATTATAGTTTTCAATTCATTTAAATGATCTATTTTTATTTTGTTATTTAAAGAAGCAAACATATGGAAATATTAAATATTTGATAAACAAAATATTATCTCCTAAAGTTACTTGTATGCATTAAAAGATGTGAAATAAAAAAACAACAATATTCATTATACTCTCCACATTTTTTGAAAATACGTGCATATATAAACACTTTTTTTTTTTTTTTTTTTTTTTTTTTTTTCTAATTAAATAGATTGGATTAAAATAAATTTAAATACTATACACACCTATTTAGAGTAGTACTATAAATTAAGAATATTTAACAAAAAGAAACAAAAGAAAGAAAAGAAAAAAAAGAAAAAGAAAAAGAAAAAAAATTGAGAAGAATCGTTCATGATTGATACAATAAATAAATAATTGAAAAATTAGCATTTTTATTGTAAGTTTAGTTTTTGATTTAATATTTGAAAAAATACTATTATTGATTAAAGAAAAGAAAAGATAAAATAAAAAAGAGTACAAAAGTCATCATGATTTCATATTTATCTATTGTTTCTTTTATTCTTTTAATATCATATGTAAACGGAATTTCAAAAACGAAGTATATGAATTATATTACACCAGGTAACATCTAATTATAATACTTTACAAATGAATCAAATAAATTAATGAAAATAAAAATATAAAAAATATATATATATATATAATTTTTTAATTATTTTTATACTTAAAAATATAAATTTCTTATATGAACACATTTTTTTATAAAACATTTTGTATTTTTATTAATTGCGTATTATTTTTTTTATTATGTAATTAGCAATTTTATCTTTTATATACTTTATTTTGAAGTAAGAGAACATTATGCTGCAATACACATAAATATAAAATTAAGAGAAATAATAACGTAAAGGAAATTTTTTTTTTTCTTCTATAGGTTTTATTACAAATGAGGTTAACATAGGGTCATATTCAAAAAACAGAGGTACTTCATGTTATATGAATAGGAAAAAATTTAATCTCCGATTTAATGTTTTTTTTTTTTTTAAATATGTTTTTTTAATTTATTAAATTTTTTTTACAAATTAATATCCCAGCCACATAAACATAATTTACATATTTATGTAGATGATTATGTATAATTTTTTAAAATATTAAGTTTAATTTTGATTTACATTTTTATTCCTATACATTTTATTTTTAGGAAAAAATAAGTTATGTAGTTTATATAATTATGGATATAATTCTACAAAATCATTAGAATCTAAAATTGATGAATTGCATGAAAAGGTAATATGTAAAAATAAAAATGAACCAGAATTTTTACAAGCATTTGAAGAAGTGTTATTATGCTTGAAGCCAGTATTTAAAAAAGATAATGTTTATTTAGGGGTGTTAGAAAATATAGCAGAACCTGAGAGAGTAATTCAATTTCGTGTTCCTTGGGTAAATGATAAAGGTGAGCATAAAGTGAATAGAGGATTTAGAGTTCAATACAGTTCAGTTTTAGGACCATATAAAGGAGGATTGAGATTTCATCCTACTGTTAATTTAAGTGTTATAAAATTTTTAGGTTTTGAACAAATTTTTAAGAATAGCTTAACAACATTACCAATGGGAGGTGGAAAAGGAGGATCTGATTTTGATCCAAAAGAAAAATCAGAAAATGAAATTTTGAATTTTTGTCAATCATTTATGACCAATTTATTCAGACATATTGGCCCTAATACTGATGTTCCAGCAGGAGATATCGGAGTAGGTGGAAAAGAAATTGGTTTTATGTTTGGGCAATATAAAAAATTAAAAAATGCATTTGAAGGAGTATTAACAGGTAAGAATATAAAATGGGGTGGAAGTAATATAAGATCAGAAGCAACGGGATATGGTGTTGTTTATTTTGCTGAAAATGCATTAAAAGATTTAAATGATAATTTAAGAAATAAAAGATGTGTGGTTAGTGGAAGTGGAAATGTTGCTCAATATTTGGTAGAGAAATTAATTGAAAAAGGAGCTATTGTATTAACAATGAGTGATAGTAATGGATATGTTTTAGAGCCAAGTGGTTTTACAAAAGAACAATTAGCTCATATAATGGATTTAAAAAATAATCAAAGAAAAAGATTGAAAGAATACTTGAAATATTCTAAAACTGCTAAATATTTTGAAAACCAAAAGCCTTGGGATATACCTTGTGATATTGTTTTTCCATGCGCAACACAAAATGAAATAAGTGAGAAGGATGCTGAAAATTTAATAAAAAATAAATGTCAAATGGTTGTTGAAGGAGCAAATATGCCAACACATATAAAGGCCATACATAAATTAAAACAAAATAAAATAATTATTTGTCCTTCAAAAGCTGCAAATGCAGGTGGAGTAGCTGTTAGTGGGTTAGAAATGAGTCAAAATTCTATGAGATTACAATGGACATCTGAAGAAACTGATAAAAAATTACAAAATATCATGAAAAGTATATATGATCAATGTTATAATACATCTAAAGAATACTTGAATGAACCAGATTTAGTAGCAGGAGCTAATATTGCCGGATTCTTAAAAGTTGCTGATTCATTCATTGAGCAAGGAGGCTTATAATATATTTTTTTTTTAAATTTCATAGTATATAGGAAATTAAAATAGATATATATTTATAAAGGAATGATAAAATATTATGTAAATAAAGAAAAAGAGAAGGTAACATAGAAAGAAATGGAAAAAAACATTTATTTGTTTTTTTTTTTTTTTTATTTTTATTTTTATTTTTTTATGTATATATTCAATTTAATATCTTTTAATAGTTTTATATAATTATTTTTAAATAATTCACCTTATCATTATCATCTAATCATCACCCTTCTTTTTATTTTTTATTTCTATAATTATATTCCTTAAAGTAACTTTTTATTTTTAAATTTAAATTTCTAACTCTGTCTTTATTCTTTTTAAATTAGAATTTACAAATAAAAATGGTTCTTAATTATTAATATAATATTTAAAAATATGCATTATATCAAAATTTTTATTTAATGAAAATTATTACCTTTTCTTCTTTATACCATGAATACATATAATTTCAATGATAAAAATATTCTAAAAAAAAGTAAATAAGCATATATTTTTTTTTTATATGAGATATTATTTATGAAACATTACAGGAGTGTTTATTAAAATGCAGAAAAAATTATTATTATATTAAAAATATTAATTTTTTTTTTTTTTTTTTTTTTAAAAAAATACTGTTATAGAAATTATAGTTTCTTGTACACAATTTCACGAAAAAAAAAAAAAAATAAAATACATGCAAAAGAGTATCTATTAATCACACATTGTACTCGTTTTCCTAAAAAAGAGGATTTTACAAAATTAAAATATAGTAGAATACTTTATTTATTAATTTTTTTTTTAATTAAAAGAAATTGTAATTGATTTATTTTTTTTAATTATTATTATTTATATTTAGAAAAATAAAAGAAGGAAAAAGTCAGAATAAAATAATATAGAAGCTGTGAGAAACATAGTAAGAAGTAAAAATAATATTCCATATATATGTAGTAAAATTTTTCTTTATTATTATAAAAAATAATAATATTTATGTTTTAATCTTAAAATTAAAAATTACTAAAGGAATAGTTATATATTTAGACAATAACTTTTTTTTTAAATTAATGTGAATAATAAATTTTATTTATATGAAATATGATATAAATTTATTTTTATAGTTTAAAAAAAAAAATAGGAAAGTTCAAATTTATATACTTAAATATATATAATTTACATATTTAAAATATTTGATAAGTGTAATATTTATTATATTTAATGTCTTTTTTTTAGTATAATATTTTATAAATTTGTTTTATGTAAATTACACACAAAAATATACTTATTTAAAGGTTGGTTCATAATAAAACACAAAAAATACATAAATTTGATTTTCCTTGAAAATAATAATTTATTCATATTAAAAATGAGTGAAAGTACATACAAGGATACTCAAATATTTAAACCAAATGGAACAAATATATATGATGACCATTTAGGAGAGGTATATAAATTAAAAGATAACATAAGTGCTGAAGAATTATTTCATTCCAAAAATATATATAGAGATGTAAAATCAAATGTAATACCTGGTCCAGTTAAAACAACCACAATTGAAAAAGTAACAAAAATACCTAAAATTATCTTTAAAGAGAGACCATTAGACACAAAAAAAGAGAAAAAAGAAAAAAAAGTTATAACTAAAGAAGTAGAGATTGAAAATGTTGTTGAAGTAATTGAAAATAAAGAAAAAGTTGTATATAATGAAGTAAAAGTACCAAAATATGTTGATGTTCCAATTATTCAACCAAGACAAGAAGTATGTTATCAACAAATTTCCAAAAATATACCAAGAGGAGTAGAATTAGTTATTACACAAACATTAGAAGTACCTAAAATCAAACCAAAGTACGTTGAAATTCCTGTTCCTATTTACGTACCATGTTATATTGAAGTACCTATACCTGCACAATATATACCAACTGAACAAAATGAAGAGAAAGACTACTTTGCATCTGGAATATCAAATAGCTCTAAATTTTCTAAACGTGCAAATTTTTATAATTCCTCATTAGCGCATTCACAAAATTTTAATACTCCTATTACTTTGAATCAAAATTTAAATATAAACGATGAAAAATCACTCGATTTTAGCTCAAAATGCTCTATTCCAAATATATCTTCTGAACAAAAAAATGTAGAAAAGATGGTAATAGCTGGAAATTTATAATTAACCCACTTAACCTAGAACATTTATATTTATACATTTTTATTACTAAAACTTTATTATTTTTATATATTTTTACACATACTAATTTTATAATATTAACTTTTAAAAAAATATGCAAAATCATTTTTAAAGATATATATATATATATATTTATTTATGTAATGAATAGAAAATTTCTATGTGATCCTATTTTATATATAAAAAAAAAAATGAATTTATATATATATATATTACCATTTTAATTTTTGAAATATATCAATATAATTAAAAAGCATAATAAGATATAGACATCTTAAACTTTTTTTTATAGTGTTCTACATTATTATAATCATTTATGAAGAATTTCAAAATAATGCACTTTATAACCATTTTCACATGTAATTAATAATAAAAAAAAAAAATTATTGAATTACATATTTTAATTGTTTTATAAAAAGAGGAATATATTTAAAAAAAAAATACTGAACTTATAATAAATTAGATTAACATACTGAAAAAGTAGTTTTATAATCTTAAAAAATAAGAAAGAGTATTTTTCATAATATGTCTAATAAAAGATAGTAAAATTTATATGTATCTCTTTTTATTTAGAAGTTTGTAAAAATGCATTTTGTTTATATTTCACCTCAATTTTTTTCTTTGATAAAGTTAAACTTATAAAAAAAAACGTTTATCTGCATAATTATATTTTGTTATAACTATTAACATATAATAAATTATAAAATAAATTTGTCCTTTAATTTTACTTTGAATATATTATTATTCTAAGTAAAAAAAAAAATTTTCTCACATATTAAAAATATTTCTGTGTATATACTATTTTATATGTAATTTTTCATATTTTAATTTTTTTTTTTTTTTTTTTTAAAAACTAGTTAAACAACGGGTATAATAAGAGTAACATCACAAAATAGATTATTAGAAAAACAAATTATCATAAATCATAAAGTGGCTGATAATTATACTGTGTGTATATTAATATAAAGTTTATTTTTTTGGTTTAGCATTTTTATCTTTATAATTACAAATATATTAACTGTTCCTTTTATAATGATTTTAATTTGTTATGTAAATTTTTATGTAACTTTGTATATAGGAAACCCTTTGAATATATTCAATATAATGATTTGAAAAAACTATATGTTTCTGAGAAAATAATTAATATAATAAAAAAAAAATATATATTTACTTTTATAAATATTGAAATACAAGGTTAACCCTTTTATTATAAGAAATTTCATACATTATTTTTTATTTTCCATTTATTTTTGTGTATATATTATTTTTTTTTTTTTTTGGAGTTATTTTCAAATTAACAAAAAAAAAAAAAAAAAAAAAAAAAAAAAAAAAAAA